GCCTAGGCGGGGGGGGGGCCCTCCCCGCCTCTGCTCGCTCGCCAGCCGCCATGGCGGTGGCAATTGCCTGGTTAGGGCGGCGGCGGGGGACTTTTGGCGTGGGGGGGCCGGGGCACAGTTTGGCGCCCCTGAGGGCCGGCCGGCCCGCCCTAGGCGACCGCCTAGTTCGCCTAGTGGGCGAGCCGGCCCTGATCGCCCCCCTCCCCATTCACCATCCTATGCTCTGTGTGTTGTGCATGCACTCACATCACACTTGAAGCTGTCTTATACTGAATCAAACCATCAGTCCATCCAACTCAGTACTGTCTACTCAGGCTGGCAAGTATTTGGATGGGACACCTTCAAGGAATACCAGAATTGTGATGTGGAGGCAGGCACTGGCAAGCCACCTCTGAACCAATGTTCCCTCTAATTTTTCCTCCTATTGAGCAGAGCAGTTCACATCCTGAGCAGAATATAACTGCTATAATCTTGCAATGGGCAGTGCGAGACCCTGCGTGGCTCCAGACTGCTACTGAGTGGGGCTTCCTATGTTAAGGCACAGCTTAAGAGGGAACACTGCTCTGAACATCCCTTGCCTTGAAAACCCCTTGGAGTTGCCAGCTGTGACTTGACAGCACTTTCCTCCACCACCACCACCAGAAGTACTAAAGAGGAGAATACAATAATTATATAGGGCATTGCATGATACACTATTAAGGGGGGAGCTTTCCCTGATAAAATTTGTTTTTCCTTTGGAAAGGTAATAAAAATACATTGTGCAAGCTTCTTCTTTTTTTACAAACATATAAATTATTTTATTTACAAAGCCATGTTACAAAAAATAATAATAAAGCAACCCTCCCCCAAAAAACAATGAACAAAAAATACAATCGTTCACTAGAGAATATCTCCAGGCCTGGTGTTGAACCACGGCAGTATCAGTCAGATACATGTTTGTTCTTTTTTTGTTCCTTTTTTTCAAAACTGTAAGCCATAAAGTTTGCTATTTACACCTACTTTCAACACTTACAATTATCACAAGCATGGAATGGGTTCTCTCTGATACTGCTAATACAGAAAAGGTGCAGAAGAATGAAAATACTTAGTGTTACAAAATATGGGTTTGTAGAAAAGAAGTTGACTGTACATGTATGGCATTTTTCTTTTAGAATGACTGGACATGCTTTCTTCAAAAGTCTTCTGGAAAAAGATTCTAAAATCTGTAGTAGGAAAACACAACGGAGGAGGTGCAAATTCATTTCTGTGCAACTGTTTATATTCCCCATGACTGACCAGCTATGCAAAACCCACAGAGTTTTGTTAAAGTGCCATGGGTCAACAGCATAACAAAATATAAGGTGTAAATAGAAAAAAAATTATTTTTCTTCTTCTCTTAAACAATAGATCACTGAGAATCAGCAATAATAGAATATGCTGTATAAACTATTCTCTACAAAGGTTGATCAGCACTATGTACAATTGTTAACATTGATACAAAAGAAGGCATACAAGTTACCCAAACTGCGCGCTTTTAAAATTTTTAAATATGGCTGACAGGCCTATGCATTGCGTATGTGTAACAACCAAAGCTTCTGAGCCTCTATTGCTGGAAACGAATCACAAAGTCTTCAGGGGAAAAACAGAGGAGGGGAAAAAACCTATTGAATGAATGGTACACTAAAATTCTTTATAGGCTGGTCCAGTTTATATCCATTTTAAAGAATGCATTTCACTTCTCAGGCTGACCATTTTATATGCATAAAATTAAATAGTGTTTTGTTTTTTTAATGTAGGGGACAAAAAGGATGGGATGTTTCATTTGATACTTAGTTTCCAAAATGCTGTCAGGCCTAAACCAGTGAAAAGGAAAGTATACATATATAAGCAGCGTTCAAAGAAAACCCTCCATAGTCATCAAACTCCAGCTTCCTACACAAAAAAAGCATGTTAAGAATATTTTTTTAAAAAAATTCCTAATACAGCTGAATTGCTCCTTCAGTCAGTGAGACTGCCATAAATTCTCAGAAGCAGCCACTGAATCTTATCACCACGGTTTTCCCTCTGGAAGTCGAAATACAGTTCACCCATTAGAGGGTGTTACTGAGATTTTAAAACTCCTGCAGTTGTACAACACAAAATAAATTAGGTTAAAAAAAACACTCTAAAGTCTTTGCTCCTAAAATTGAAGACAAAAAACTGTGCAAAAATAACAAAGATACGTACACATTTTTCAGTCTGAAGAAAAGTACAATTAAAACATAACTCAAAGTACATGAAAAATATAAAACATTGCTTAAACTTTCCTAAGTTTCATATGGTTCATGAAACTATTCCTGTCAGCTTGAAAATATAGCAAAACATAAATTATTACAAAATTAACACTATAAAATTTACTTTAAGAATATCTTCTATTCCCCCCCCCCAAGGGTCTATTCTTGTTTACAACTGTTAAACATTTTATACGGTTTAAAATCTGCCTTAGGCCTTTCTTTAAAAAAGAAAAAAGTAACCATTCCCCTTTTTGCATTCTTTCTCCTTTCCCCACAAGATGTAAATAAACCAGCATATAAGTGCACTTTTTAACACTGTAGAAATAAAAGTTAACTCCTCTGTAGTAATTTTGCAGTACCCTAGTATTACTGATTTTCTGATTACAAAATCTATTTTTATAAAAAAATTATTAAGTAATTTTTGTAAAACATTGTCAGTGCAATTCAACAGATGCAAATTCAGTATGTCCAAATCTTGTCTTTGCAAAAAACCAAATTGTTTCATTAAGGAGAATAGTAGCACGGATTCTTCAAGGCCCTCCATCTACGTGTGAGAAAATTTTCACATGGTGATCCTACCAATGGAAGCAAGGTGCATTAACCCCTCCAGGCATTTAAGGATTAGGAACACCATAATGAAAAGAAGGCGCTGCACACTGAAGCCACCTACAGGAGTCAGTGAAATCTGTGGGTGCAAAATACTTCCTCAACTGTGAGATACTGCTGAGAAATGCACTTGGCAATTTTTTTTATCCATAGGACAATAATAAATACAGAAGTTACTGTCAATCCGAAATAACAAAGCAGGGGGTTAAATACAATTTAGCCACATATGGCATTAGTTTGGAATGTCACTGCTGTCAATGTTAGAGAAACAAACAAACAATGTAACAATTTACTTAAAAAGGCATCAATCCAAATCAAACCAGATTGCACAGATCAGAGGCCAATGTGTGAGCAAAACTAAAAGAAACCACTTTTACAATCTTCATGTAGATTTCATATTTTTTTTAAAAGGATCAATGTAAATTAAAACCACAAATATATGTAAATTAAAACCATCTGCAGGATCCAGAAAATAAACCAGTAACTCTGAAGTAGGGCTGCTAAGAGCTAGAGATTATTGGCTGGTTGCTTTCCCTCATTATGGAAGAGTCCTTATCCTACCAGTCCGGTTTAATGTCTTCTGAAAAAGAAAAACAGAGAGCGCCAATGTCAGACTTGAACAGTTTCCCCCCCACTGTGTCACAATGTTAGCTTAGCTTACTGCAACATTAATAATGCATTTGGTGCTGCAAAATTAAACTTTTAAAACAAAGGAAAGCTGCCCTTCCTCCACAGAGCTCAGTTTTAAAGAAGATCAAATTATATTGGAATTCACATAAAATGCTCTACTGGTCCTTTGGGGAATAACACATACACTTCCCATTTATCCATCACATACACAAATACATAAAACTGTACTGTCCACACTTGTAAGACTCTGATTGGTCTCCCTGGTTTGGCTTCTTCAGGTTCAGGGCTTGGATGGAGTTCAGTAGCTGTTGTAGACCTTTTAACAATATTAACAGTTTTGGTTGAGACTTCTTGTTTTCCTTTTTCTAAGTTTCGGCAATTATATCAGAGATGTCCCTCTTTCTGGCAATTATAACAAACCAGCCTTCTTTTCATTACTTGGCTCTGGAGTGTTCCATCTTGCGGAGTTAGTTTTTGTTTGCTCAGTTTTCTGAGCTCAAACTTTTGTTTTTATTTATGATGGGGTGGAAAAGAGATCCTCTCAAGTCCCCTTCTATCTCATCTAATACAGTGGCAGCTTCATTTACAGTTTTTAATCTTTTATGTCTAAGGTACCATCTTAACTGTGAAGGAACTTGTATATAAACCTGTTCCAGATCAAGCAATTGCTTGAGCTCTTCAAATGTCTTTACTTTGCTCCCCTCAACCCACACCTGGTTAAGACTCTGTCTAAATGACAATCTAGTTGTGTGTACATTTCCCCATTTTCTTTTAATTTCTCTAAAAGCTTTCCTGCTTTGTTCTGCTGTGAGTCCAGACCTAAGTCTCACTCTTTCTTTGAAAAGAAAATAATCAGAGGTTTCGTCATTTGTCATATTTGAGTAAACTTCACTCAGTCCTTCACAAATCTGTGGGCACAAATAAATCATCCTGTCCTCATCTCGGACCCCAAAGTCTCTACAAGCTCATCCAACGCTGGGAAAAAAATGCCTCGACATAATTCCCTTTTTGATATCTTTTGTTCCACTGCAGAATTTTCTCCAGTTCTGGAAGTGGTAATTCTGTCCTCAGCTGCATTTCCTTTATCTTCATCGCATACATTTCTTTTTCATGCTCTCTCTCAGCTTCCCTCTCCTGCTGTGCCATTCTAGCCTTTTCATGTTCTACCTCAGTCCTGGCTAACTGTATTTGTTGTTCTTTTCTGCCTTAATCCTGGCCTTTTCTTTTTCTGCTTCTATTTTAGCCAATTCAATTTCTATTCTCATAATTTCCACCTCCTGCCTAGAACTTTCCCCAGCTGTAGTTTCTTCCTCTCCCTGTACCTGTCTGGGTCTGTGTGGTGGTGCCATTTCTGACAGGAATTCTGAGATAATTTTTCCATTAATTTAATATGAAGTTCCGCCCAAACTTGTAAGGTATTTTCTTATCTTAGTTTGTGTTTATGGTGAGACAAACTAGTTGTGGGTTTTATTTTCGAATCCAGATGCTGCCACCAATTATGATGATTTTGTCCTCCCTCAAAATGTTTCCCTTTATCTTCTTTCTGGCTGAAAAGCCCCTTTTCTTTTCTATTTTTTCTGGTTGTCCCACACAGTCGTTTGAATGTTTTTAGATATATGCTGCCCCACCCTAGGTGAGGGGAGAGACTAAAATCCTTCTTACGTTCTGTTTTGAAAATTGCACACGAGAAGTTGATGGTAGTTCAAAAATAACAAACTGTTTTATTTAAATTTATGGGGAAATGGTCAGGTTGGAATGAGATGTAGGGGCTTATAAGGTGAACAGACAACAGGAATGATGTAACTTTGTATAAAAATAAAACACCAGATAATTTGTCAGAAACAAGTAATTGCATCTGTTATTCAGCCAGGTCGTTAAAACTTGAGGAGAGAGATTTCTTGGCAGTGTCTGATTAAATTCACAAGCATAAGTGTCTTTATTGGACACTTAAGTTGGAGAAGGCAGGAACATTCACATAAGTTCCATTTCCCTTCCTAATCCACTGGCTAGGGATCACTCCCCCCCCCAATTTTTAGGAGCTATTTCCCTCAGACTTGTTAGAGATGGTCTAAGCTTTCCACTTCCCTGACTCAGGATCCTTCTTGATCCTCTCCTTCAGACTGGATAGCAGCCCTGTAGCTAGGGAATTCTTTGAGAGGGGGCCTTGGGGGCTCACCAGCTAATTAAATGAAAGTACAGTGCAGGTGGTAAGTTGGAGCACTTTGGGGGCAACCCAGGAGGGAGGGGGCCCAGAAGAAACACTAGGGGGCCTGGCCCCATGTTAGCTATGGGCCAGCTGGATAGGGATCACCCCCCTTTCTAGGCACTATTTCCCCCAGGCTTGAATGAAGATCCTTCTTGATCCTCTCACTCCCTTTGCCTTCCTTTCACAGTCAGCTTTCAGTTCTTAACTGTCACTCTTTTATTGACCCTCTCAACTGAAGAATTCCATTTGAATCCCCTATCCTCAAGGTTCTTAGACCTGGTTACAGCATTAACAACTTACTGACCATCACAACAATATATTGAATGTATCTTTTCATATCATGTATATGACCCCCTCGTGCACAACAGCAGTTTCAAGGGACAGAATTGCACAAGAGATCCAATTATCAATAGCCAACACCCATAACACTTGAGTACCTGAAATATACAACCGTTCAACCTCTGTTAAAATCTCCACACTGAACAAACTCAATAACACATTTGGTGCTATAGGGCAGTAGAAAATGCATCTCTGAAAATCGCTGGATGAGATTATGTTGAAAATTTCCAAGAATGGAAACAGTGGGAGTACTTTTTGCTGATTCCCTCTTCCTGCTGCAGATCTTAAGGTAAGTCCCATTCAACTATGGACATAATGGCTTGGATCCTTCCAACAACAGAGATTTACCACAGGATCCAAACTACTACATATACTAAATTTACTGCAGGATCCAAGCCATTACTCACCTTGTTTACAGGATATCATTTCATTTGTACTATGCGTGCCTAGACAAAATCTCGATATATCCTTCTGAAATGTTCCGTGTTTAAAATCAGAGCCTATTCTGAAAAAATGTACAGAACTTTTCAAGACTTTTAGCAGGTGATCACAGATTTAAAGGCAAATAAGGGGAAACAAATTTTTAAATCAAGTTATTACCTTTGGACAAGTCACCTGTTCATAAGTCTTTCCAAAGATTTCACATGTTAACAGTAAGGAAAGCTTTTTTACTGCTTTTCCCATGGGCATCTGATGCCAAATAAAACTGGGGAGGGGCGGGGAGATTACCCTAACATTTCTGACCACTGCTGGAGGTTTAGTCAAGTTGGGACAGAATTCTCCACATATGGTGGAACTGTGAAAAAAAACAGGTTGCTTACCAGTAACTGGTGATCTTTGAGTGGTCATCTGTGCATTCACACCCATGGGATCTAGTGCTCACGCGCTGGATCGATCGGTGCTGTAGCAAACTCTTTTTAACGGATTTTCGCGCCCAGTCCCTCCAGGCATGCGCAGGAACCCCACTGCGCTTGCCCAGAGGGGTGGGTGTGGACATCCCGCCAGTTCCTTCAAAGTACCGCCGCAAATCAACCCCCATGCAAAAAAGTGTAGAAGCTGAAGGCAGCGGGGAAGGAGGGCGAGTGGTGTGAATGCACAGATGACCACTCGAAGATCACCAGTTACTGGCGCTAGCAACCTGTTTATCTTCGACGTGGTCTCTGTGCTTCACACCCATGGGAGATTAGCGAGCAGTAGCCTACCTGGAGGTGGGTGCTAGCAGGCCTTCTACTGCGTAGCTGAAGATAGAATTTGACGTCCCATGTTGGTACCGGTGTTCGTATGGACGTCTAGGGCGTAGTGCCTGATGAAGGTGTTAGGCGTGGCCCACATAGCGGCTTTACAAATGTCCAGCAGTGGCACTCCCTGGAGGAAGGCAGTGGAGGTCGCAACAGCCCTGGTGGAATGAGCCCTGATAGGGCCAGGTAATGGCCGCTTGGCTAGTAGGTAACAGAGTTGGATCAAACCTACAATCCACTTGGATAAGCGTTGCGCCGTGATACGACTGTCTAGACGTGCCGAAGCATATGAGACAAATAACTGTTGGTCCCGTCTAGTCGGGCGTGTTCTCTGCAGATAGAACAAGAGAGCCCGCTTGACATCCAAAGTGTGTAGTAGTCTATCTTCTGCTGGTGTAGGGTTTGGAAAGAAGTCAGGTAGGAAGACTTCCGCCTGCAGGTGAAACTCCTAAACCACCTTCGGCAGGAAGGAGATATCCGGGATGAGGCGGACTCCGTCTGGCAGAAACGACAGGTAGGGTGTGTCGTGCCAGAAAGCCAGTATCTCCCACTCGCCTAGCAGAGGTGATGGCAACTAAAAAGGCCATTTTCCATGCTAGGAGTTTGAGTTCGCACGTTGCGAGTGGTTCAAAGGGTTTCCTCGTGAGTTGTTGGAGGACTAGTGGAAGGTCCCAGGGAGCGACTGGAGATTTGACAGGAGGGTACAGGTGTAGTAAACCTTTTAAAAACCATTTCGAAACGGGATGTGAAAACAAAGTACATCCTTCAACTGGAACATGGTAGGCTGATAACGCGGCCAAATAAACTTTTAATGATGAATGGGAAAGTCCCGAGTCAGTCAAGGAGAGGAGGAAACAAAAGACTGCATCGAGGCCAACGGAGGTAGCCCGAGTGGCGTCAATGCCCCAAAAAGAAGAGAATCTTCTCCATTTATAGTCAGAGGACTTCTGTGTGGTTGGCTTTCTGGAGTTCAGGAGAACGTTAACTACACGGGAAGAGAAGCCTGTGGTGTTATGCGCCATGCTGTCAGTTTCAACTGTTGAATGTTGTGATGGAGGACGGGGGAGTCCGAGAGGATGAGAAGGTCCGGAGTCGGGGGGAACTGATGGTACATCCCCTGTGACAACACGAGGACTGTTGAAAACCAAGGTTGTCTTGGCTACCATG